GTATTTATCTAACCCTACGATAATTTTTGGGGGCAATAAAATTGATCCGCAATCATTTCGACTCTCCTGAATTCATCTTACTCTGCAGGGTCCATATTAGATGAGCAGATTGCCAATCGATGAGGAATCTCTCTTGTTCTCCTAAATTTTTCATTGCTATTATAGACTCTATATGGCTATTATAGAACTTTCGTAGCGATTCAACTTCTCATCTTATCAAACGATTCTACCTGAAGTTTGCGTATGGGGCTGCTCTTATGGCATCGGGGTAAAAGGAAGTAGAACAACTTACCCATACAAGAGGGCACTCGAACGCTGAAGGTGTCAATAAGGGTGAAGCGCTTAGGAAAATATTAGTCTCCCAAGCAAGTCAACCTCACAACACCATCAGCATTCATTAAGCCGTTACAGTGAGATGCTCAGAAGTTGTGTTGCACATGATTCCTAAGCAGTCAGTAGTGAAAAAGCTCCAGTAGAGACGAGTACACCACATTTGGCAAAGGGCCAAGAGACACGCACGCGACACGCGCCGGAAAGTCCCCTATATTTTTAGATGCGATCGATATAACGTGCACAGCATTGGGCAGGAGACGGCAATTTAAAACGAGGGAGACATCAGTGGCGCCTTGATCTTTTCAAAATAAACATCAGAGATGGGAGCCTGTTCATAACTGATGACCTGTTGTAATTTATAGCAGCACGGATTCTCCTGAATATAATATTAGGGAAAATGTATGGATCCTCATTCGTTGAACGACCGTTCTCAATGGTGACAGCGTTTTGTTCGCTGAAACGGTCAAACCTGATGATAACATTTCAAATATGTGGTAGTTCTCGAATTAGTTTTGAACATGTTTAATGCTGTGCAAACCATCTCGAGTTACAGTAAACCGTTGGAGAGTCGTTCACGTCGGAACGTCAGACCGTAGTAAATAATAGATATCACGATGTTCACGTGCGGAGTCCAGGTTGGGATAGGCGAAGCATTGGGCACAGTTAACAGAGCACACGTGAGCTCAACAGTACCGCGCCTACTTTAGCAGGACCTTCATCAAAACGATGGCACTGATAGCAGAATTTTTTATTTGACTAGGGATCTGCAGTATCCTGGGACGGCCAGGATACAGCAACAAAGAAGGGCAGGACCAACAGACCAATGTAAGCTCTGCAAAGCTCCAAACACGGAATGCGGGATATTTGCCTTAGTGTTTGATGATGAGGGCGCAACTTCGGATGTGGTTTCAGGAAAGATCAAACAGCAGGAAAGATTGAGCAAAAGTGAGGAGAGGGTTAACAAGTTAAATGAGGGGGACGCAACCGCGGCGATCAGAAAGTTTTCAAGTGGGAGGAGGGGCAGTTAGTGCACACCACTTGAATCCACAATTGGACTCCAAAATGTATTGGAGACCAGAAAATAATCGCAGAGATGAGCAAGATCTAGTGCCTGGTAAGCATACATAATCTAAGTGAACCTTCGCGTGAGGGTGGCGCTCCTATGTGGAAAGTAACCAAGGCAAAAATTCATAACTGTTCAAAAAGGGTCTAAAGTCAGGGTTAATGTAAGAATGGTCAAAGCCTGTTGGAGGAAGATCGGTTAGATGCTCATAGCGGATGGGCATGCGCCAATGTGTTCGGAGCTAGGACCAACAATGCCCAGCTATGTTCAAAAGCGTTCTGGAGATCCGAAAAACGGATAATCTGCGCCCGGAAAAAAATAGATAGCGACCAGCAAGGGAACAAAGGTGAATATTCATAGTAGGCGATATGGGCGAAGTCAAAATCAAAAACTTACAGTCATGACCAAACATGCTCCAGATTCCCCAAAAAGGGGTAGAGATCGAAAGGGAAGGAGAATTTCGAACGAAGTCATGCTGTACAAAGGGAAGTGGCTTGTTGAGGATCAGAATTTGCAGCCACGACCAAAAATCTTTTCGCATTCAAAAAAAGTGCATCGCGACTAGCAAGGAAGCAGTACCTGTATGTTGAACTGAGGTGGACGCAACGGAAATCATAATTTCAAAAGCGTTTAAAAGGTTCTGGAGAAGGAGTGTGAATGAAGCGTCGGCTGAAATTTCTCCTTATGACTTCTCAACATCTGGAAATGGATGATAGAACTCATAGAAGGACAAGGAGGTTCGTAAGGTTTGGTAGATCATTTTGTATTTGTCGGGAAAATATTGAATACCCTACTGACTGTACAAAAATTTCAGATGATGGTAGAAGCTCTGCAGAGCAGAATTCTAGGATCAGCGAGAATCTCGGCTAAATGTGTGGAGTTCCAATGAAAAAAGACATCCGAGGTTAGGGATTCAGTGAAAAATGTAGGATGAATCTGACGTTGATTCTGAAATTGATAGTGTTTGATTCAGCGCAGGGAGGGTAAAAATGGCCAAAGAGGTTCAAACATGAAAAAGACGAGTTTGCTGACTATTTATCAAGATCATTGATTAGCAGACGATTTATCGCACGCTAAGCTTGGACTGAGCTCGACCTGGACCTGTTATTCTAAAGACTCACTGCACTGATTTACCTGTATTACATCTGTGCCCGATCCATGGTTTCGAAAGCAGTCCAATCTTCGTAGCCGAGAGCACGGGAACCAAAGGATCTATCGATGTTGCCGAGTCAGCATTCACTAATTCATGTGCCGGAAAGCACATTTTTCCATAGTTCGTTCCTTACTTTTCTCTTCGTGATTGGTTCGGACAGTACATTCTCTTCTTTGAGTTCTCTTGATTGTACTTCGAAAAAGATACTCGTGTTCCTGAAGCCTCCTCAGTGATTTGATATACAACCCGGGGAGTGCCCGTCAAAGGCAGCGCCATCAACCTTGATAGTGGCAAAGTAAATTACAACAACCGCCCGAAAATACTTCGAAAATCAATAGAATCGCTTGATTTTACGTTTACTTTGCTTTTTCGGATGTAGATTAACAGCTCAGCATTCTGTGATTGCGTAGACCTCTAAACTCTGCTCGACAAGCTTCACAAGGTGACACTATTACTATATAAAAACTGGGTAGGCTTTCTCCTAATTTTCTCTTGCTTTACCCTCGACATAGTTGTTTATGATTATGATATTCTTATGCCGTGCAAGGTTGTTAGGTGCAACAGTTTATTAATCAACGGCCTAACGTTTTGGCGTTCTCGTCTTCTTCAGAAGCCGAAAGCAACTCGAGACTATTTGCACAGTATCCAAAAAGCGCATTACTCCCTGGCGAATGTTACGGCGAATACAAAACACATATTTCAAAATAATAGTTGCTTGATATTGTTATTAGAAATATTCACCAAATGTACAAAATTTGCAGCTCAGCTCTGAAAAAGCTCCGCTGTATAGCATTGCTAACTTTATCGGAGATGAAGGGGAGGCACAGTGGTAACTTAATTTGGGGCGTAGCACGCTGCATATTAGTGCGAGATTTTCTACAACCTTGTGACATCGTACAACAGTTCACAGTAGCTATCTCACAAGCTTAACGCCGGAATTTGGGTCGTTTGGCTTCACCCCGGGTGGGCTTTACTCAAAGGTAACTCTGATTGATGACATGCTCTTGTGCTTGAAGGAGAACTTCTGAAACGGAAGAAGTGACGATGAAATCAATAGATGCTCCCATACTACAGGTGGGGCCAGTTCGAAAGCTTCTTTAACCATTGCATTTCATTACAAACAACACACGACGTGAGCGCTCGAATCACGGATACGGAGGCATTTGGCTATTAAAATGCAGAAGTTTTCTGCCTGGCGACACCTTTGGCCTGGGATCATCCGTTGATCTCTGGTTTTTTTTTATAACAGATGAATCCGTAGTCTGTTGCGTGATTATAAAAAGCAGCGCGTGGCATATAAAGTGGAATTGTCTCCTGCTATTTTTCTGACTAAACGACTTACACCTTCTAATGGTAACTCAACTATGTTTTTATTATCAACATAAACTTTGTTAGTGGTCGAGTAACCCGCATCGCCGGACCAAGTCACATGTTACAAAAAGCTCTACAAACTTGCTAGTAGCTCGGAGCGATGAGTAATTTTTGTAATAAGATCGATGCGCAGAAGTCAACAGGTCGATCGATTGCACTAAATAGCATTGCCAACGAGAACCACTCAACACTTGAAATGAGTGCCTGATTCACGGATACAGCATGCATCTAGTTATGAAATCCCGAGCTCTGATGACCTGACGAACGACTCGGATGCAGTTAATCTGTTATTATGGAAGGAGCTCAGTACAAGGTGCTAAACATTGGAGCTATAGCACGAATAGGCTTTAACCCCTTGACGACCATGACTTTTTGCGGGAAAAGCGCCGCGTGGGACCGGCGCGCCTTTCGCCCTCTCGCGACTGCAGCCTACATGTGGGCTACATGGTCCAGCATGACCATTCTTTGAAGTTAATAATAGAAATTTATAAGGTTTTCGGAATACACCTTCAGATGGGTTCGGTAAGAATGCCCACATTGAGTGACTATTGATCTTTATTATAGAACCGGCACGCAGTCTAATGGTCATTCAATTAGGAGTTCAGTAGCAATCAATTATAAGTTCAATCATCACCAGAAATGTTTCGGGGAACAAGCTTTGCATTCGGTCGATAACAGCGAAAATGCTGGTGGCGACCGTCTTTTCAAAGTATCTCATATTTTGAAGTTGTTCAACGAACGAAGAATTCACCAAGGTAATGTACTCCTTCGAAAAAACACCTTTACAGTTGCAAAACTGGAAGATTTTCTAGAATCACGCTGTATGTAGTTTCATTTAGGTCTGTTGTAATGTTTTGAGAAGAAAAATTGTAAAAGAGTGGGAATATTGATGAATAAAACAAAAAATATAACTGCAGTCCACATGTGGACCGCACGGTTCCACATGGCCGAAAAAGTGCAATCCACATGGACTGCTTGGTCGTCAATCGGTTAAATTATTCTCCGTTGTATTCTATTCAAAATTCCTTTTCACTTCTTAACTCAAAAGGTCGTTTGATATAAACCAGCTCAACAGAGAATTTAACAGAGAACAAGTAATAATAAAATAGATATCAATGATAGGAATCGAGAAATAAAGTGTTCTGTCAAACCTGCCGAGTCGAATCCAGCAGAATACACTGAAGCATAGCTGCTCAATTGCTCGGCTTGTGTTCTGGAATCGATACATTTGTTCAAATCACAAAAATGACTTAAGGCACGGTTACCTGCTGTAAAGAGCTTCTGCAAGTTCAGCAGCCCTCTTCAAAATGATTTCCTTCGGGAGCCTTTCCGGATCACCAGGATACTTTGGTAGAAGCTTTTGAAGTCGTTGGAACCCGAAATCAATGCTCGGCTCAGTAAGAGCTAAAGGGTAGGGGTATTATATAGCAACCGACATATTTCTACCATAGATGTCATTCGGATGAGGTGAGTTGGAAAGATCAAGATATAGACTTGTTGTCGGCAAAGCACTTATGAAGAGTGTGCAATTCGTGCTTTGTGCATTCATCCTGGGAATCGGTTGTTTCACAGGAAAAAAAGCGAATAACTTCTTTTTGCGTCCGTGACAGTCAAGTGCAAATAATAAATACCAGATATTCCTAGACAGGATTTGGTCGAATTTGGCTTATAGATAATTGTCGTTTCAGTAGCACTACTTGTGACCACTCGGCTAGCGTTTTATTTTCTCTTTGATCGAAGCACAAATTCGCGGCCCAAGAAATGAACATAAAGTCTCAGGGAAAAAGTCTCCTTGGGATTAACGCTCTGACGACAGTGGCACCCACCGGTGGGTGCCACTATGACTGGCACATGGAGCATTGGCATCCAATTTTAAGAGCCATCATACTTTCTTGTTCCTTACGAATTGCTTATTTCAGTAAGCCAGTGAAAGGGGCAGTGCCACCCAGAGCGAAGTGCACTCTTCATTGGGTTCAAGCAATATACTCAACTTGGCAACCGAACCTACATGCATAAGTGAAGCGAATTGGCGCTCCTCTGTTGTACTGCTTATTTTTGTACTGCAAGGTGACTTCAACGACGCCGGCGTTGTGGCGTGGAGGACTTGTCACCCTCATAGCATGTGGTGAAATAACTTGAACCAACTAGAAAGAAAACGTTTCAGATATAATGTCACACGTAGAAATCAACTATACCATAAAGAAATTTGTCACCTCACTCCAGACAGTTGTTGAACCAAAAGCAATCTGGAGACCTTCGAAAAAATTTTCTCCTATCACAATCACCTGCAAACGAGCAGCTCGCAAGTTTGGCCAATACAGAACGACGGTGACTGGATCTCACGTGGACGTAAGTGGGATACCTGCGTTCCTCCTTGAATCCATCCTTCGCTCGGACACAATGCCTTGATTACAGGCAATGAACCCGTTGACAGCTCGGACACTTCGGGAAACTCTGTATATAAAAAAAAACAATGATTTTTGCTTCTTGCGCGATGGAAAATCGTGTTCACGTGGTAGTTCGACGTGAAAGTTTACTCGGGTACACAAGAAAACCCTCTCAATGGGGTGCAAATGATTAAGAAATTGGGCCATAATTTTCGTAGAGGAGAAATTGAGTATAAAGTAAAGTGGGTAAAGTTTTTGACATTGATCAATCCCGTCTGAGAGATGCGTCCCCGCACCCGACTTCCATTCAGAAGCGTAGTGGCGTAATAAGCGCGTATGTGGCCTATACATATAATGACTTGCAGGGATCAGCCAATGTAAGAATCAGTGCTTTTATCCTCTCAGACGAGTCTGACACCAATTCACCGACTTCGGAGGGTCGGAAGACTTGGTTGACCTACCCGGATATCGATCGGATACCGGATAATCGAGAAATTGAGTATGTTGCGTACATTATGGTAGTTGATAGAATCCAGAAGACTGTATTTAGTTACACCAATCCAATGCAATAGCAAATATTGCTTCGTAAAACCTAGTTTAAATAAAAATCAAATTTTTTCACTTAGAGATCGATGACTGAGCCTCTAAGTGCCATTGGATGCCCTTTTCTTACTCAACACACCTTACTTCCCTCCGAACAAGCACTCGACGAGTTGTTTGCTCGACCTTAACCTGCCTGCCTCTAAAGCGAGGTCCTCGAAGCTTCATCATGCCCGAATATAACATCAGGCACATCAATTTCTTTTGGTAAGCGCTGAAGGAATCCTAGAAATCGATGACTGAATTACGCCCAAATTCATTATTCGTTGCTAATCACGTCATTACGAGCTCACTTCTATAATTACTTAATGATTCCTCTACCAAGCATCACGATTTTACCCATCTGATATTAGAGTGATGGAGCAAACGTTGAATGTTCGACCGAGAGATTACTGGACCGCCTCGACCCTTATCTTTATGAACCGCATTCTTTTACTGAAGCAACAAATGAAGCATTGAAAACATAAGCAATAGCTACCATCAGAAGCGTCTATTCGTTTCACTCGACGTCCGTGCTTGGAGTTATTATGAACGAACATGTTCTCAGAGACGGCCAGAAGTGGACCGTCTATCCGGACTGTTGTACTGAGTACGACCTTAAGAACATTTCAACATTAGTTTCGAAGCAACGTAATAGGTTTCGAACTGTCAAAGAGTATATGATGACAATTGATCTTTACGCTTCATTAGCTGCCATTAACGTCAGTTCTAACAACGTAGTCGATGACAATCGAGAAGAGCCACCTGTTAAGTATGTCAGGAGGTCATCGGGTGATATATCATATATAATCTGTTGAACTTAACAATTATTCGTGTGAAGAATCTTGCAAGAATTCTACCAAGCAAAGCATGTTATTGCTTTATCAATTTCGGTAGAAAGTCACAAACGAACCTGGAATCGGCGCATGTCTCGTGGATTTCCAGCGTTCTTCAGACAGTTTTGGTTGCATTTTAAAAAGAATTTGAGAAAATATCTGAAACTAATTGATTCAATTTTCTAGTCTCGCATTTCCTAAGGGTAGTTTTGGACAGGCCATGATACGCTGTAACGATGAGACCAGTTGGCGGAATAGAATCTAATTTCTATGAGGCATGGAACTTAAAAGGTTTCAACGCCACAAGCCATCCATTACGTCATTATTTCTCATCTCCACTCCTAATTCAATATTCAGCGCAATTATCAGTAGTCTCGTATAGAAGGTGGCCATGGCGAGAAGATCACCAATTCCATTTATCGAAGTTGAGCAGTCAGAGGAGTAGCCGAAATCCATCCCCATTCATGTCATAAGAATTCATTCAGGCACTCAGCAAACATCGCTTTTTGGTAATTTTTCAACGTATAACATAAGGCACGATGCCACCATTACAAGATACTCAGGAATTTTTTGAACCCATCTTCCAGTTTGACGAATGAGAAAAGAGGATGTCCGGTTATCCCGCGATTAGATTGACAGGAATATCAGTCATGAGTTTATAAGTGTTCTACAGTCGCGTAGGCTCGGAGATAACTGAACTGAATGCATATTAATCGAAAGAAAGATACCTAGTCATGTACATGCCTTTTCTATATACCCAATGTTATTGTTGGCCAACTGTATATCTCATCTCAATCATCTGCTGTACTAACTTTGTAATTGTCAGTGCACCTCAACTAGAGTACGAAAGGAAACCAACTTGTCAATGATGATTGGGTCACTGGGCGTTTCGTTCCGATTACCACAACTTTTCTTCTCGCAACATCGGCTGGAAATGCGTCTGATTCATAAACCAAGAAATCAACACAAAACACTTTCTTTTCCGGCCCTACCTGCACATTACTTCGTGCGTCAGTAGCACGCGACACATTTCAGGATTTTTGTCCTGTCCTTCGTATGAGATGGCCTGAAGCAGGTACTGCTTTGACCGCATCGCCAGTAAAGTAAACATCACTTTTAGGACTGAATTGGATTACTCCAGCACCCATTGCCATGATGTTACATTTTCATAGTGGCAAGCTATTCCTTGCTCCCCATATAAGTTTTCAAAGACGCTTGCATGAGAAATTTCGCACATGAGATAACAATGATGGATAGGCGCGTATCTTTGCATTAACTCTGTTTTTCGCTACAGGATCTCGAGTGAAAGATCTACCGCATTCAACTCGAATCCAGGATACGATAGGCGCCTTTCACTCAGCGGGCTTTCTAAAAGCCTCTCAGTAAACATAACACTTCCAAGGAAGAAGGTTATATCAAACACAAATAATATCAATCTTGGCGATAGAGAGCTGCGCTGTCGATGATTGAGAAATGAGAATAAGATAAGGGGGCGAGAATTACGAGCAAGCTATTCTCGAAACTGGCTCACGCCATCTGTTGCCATCAGGCTGCGGCTGGCCGTAAAACCAAACCCGTATGTATGGAAAGTAATCAACTGAAGGCGTTGAGGAAACTGATCCCGCCTCACCAATAATACATTCTAGAGTAGAAGAGAAATTTAGGAAATCGAGAAATACAAGTCTGAGCGAGATGCGTAGGAGTGTATTACCTGCTTTGATACACTGTCTATCAGCCGCACAAAAAGGTCCTGCTCTGCACGGAGACCTGAAATGAAAGTACGTTTTTCTTGGAAAACCAAGCACGGAACCTCACTATTTCTAACTTCTCCTGAATAGCCTGGTATTGGCTCGCTAATTAAACTCAGCAGCAGAGCACACTATATTTCAGCTCGACGAATTTGGAAGCGATAAAAATCACAATGTCTTTCATTGCATCTTGTTTGGTACATCGTTGTTTAGTGTCTGGGAAATACCACGTGCTAATACTACAAAGACACAGCACTAGAGAATACCGAGATTTTCGTGTTCAATTCTATATTCATATACAATTCAATCCTTACAGTACTATCGCAACTTTTCAACCAAAACGTGGAATTTATTGTAAAGTGGTCAGTGGATGTGACAATGATGGGATTGATGAAGGACGATAGAGGGTACTGAAAAAAGGGAATGGTATACGAAAGGAGCATACCGTTTTGGAACAAAACATAAAGTTTGTAATGTATCCCGTTTTTCGTATCCTGACCATCGATTTCTCTGTCCTTCTCGACAAAACCAGCGAACTGTGTCCTCTCAATTTCAATTGGTTGGCTGGCCCGATCATAGAGCGCGACAACGAAATGGAAAAAATTCGACTTTCGAAGATTATTCGGTGGATGCTTCTCGAAATGGGCTCGAGCAAGTTGAGCGCTGAAAAATACGCCTGCAATGATCGTGTAATTTGTTTGCTTATTACTTCAAATACCAGTAACGGAAATTCCACTAAAAAAGAAATTAAAAGCAGGTATAAGTATTTGACCACGAGCTATTAAAGCGCAATGACGAAAAAGGGCGCTTAAAAATTTTGTCAGTCCAACATGATTACAAATAACATTTGAACAGATACCTGCCCGGGGATGGATCAATGAGCGAAGGTGCCCACGTGGCTCGAAGACCTTCATCTTTCATAGATCGAAGCAAGGTGGAGCCGTCAGAAAAGAACATGGCTGGCCCCTCGGGAGGTGCCTTCATTAAGCTCAATCCGCCTCAATTGCTTTGATCCCGCCCCCCGCAACGCTCGACGAATCATCGCGCGAGCAACTACCGTACCTCTTCTCAGCGATCAATAACACAACTACAGAACGGCAGCTCGCTCTACACTGTCAGTACTTTAAAATTTCCCGTAAAACATTCACTTTCAAAAGCATATTGCCATACAATATTCTCTAGCACTCACATGCCGCCATGATCGCCATGATAGGCAACAAAGGAAGTGGCTTTTGAGCTTAAGAAGCAATTTCGGTTTTTGTTCGCAGTAAGATCGTTCTCAATTAGTTAAGAAAATACGTGGACGTTTTCATATCGCGGATGGTGCATCAGAGGATGAATTCCTGAGAGAATTCTGGAAACGAGATGGAGGTCCACATAGCTAGCGATTCTAAAAGGCTGTCTGCACATTGAAAACAGGCAACAATCTGTTCTTCAAATACTACGCATTTTGCAAGTCAAGTCTTTGTATCTAAAAGGACTCAGGAGACTTCGGAGCAACTGAGACTTTAATTTCTGACTTCATACCAGACGAGTTTCATATTCTGACTAAACATGTCTCGACACCTCGGATGAGTTCTCTCATGGATACCTTCGTTCTGCAATTGTATTATCCTTGCTGTGCCTTCTTAGCGCGAACATCATCGAAGGATGTTTATTTCTTCTCTTTTCTGCAAAGTGCAGTTGTTTGAGAGCAGAGTGTGATTGGAATACCTTAGTCGCGGATGTGCTCCTATAAGTGCTTTTGTCTCTGCCCTATAATTCCCTGAACAAACTTCAATATTCCATTACAAACATTCGCTAATGTCATTAAGCATCTCATGGTATACATAAACAGAATCAAGCCACTCTCCCTGACATGTCTTACAGAATATGCAGCTGATGCCTATCGCTACTATGCTAATTTTGCGCGCAGTTTGTCAGAGAGAGTGACTTGAAATATTCGGACAGCTGCGCGTTCGATATGTTAATCGTCGACAACAACTCTGATGATTGAGGAAGGATAAATCAGTGGAGAGTAGTAAGCGCGAAACATCTTGGTCATCAATCATCTGCTGGTAAGCTCCATCAGCAGAAGAACTTCGTGATCGATTTAAATTCAAATAGTTCAGAACAGTATTTCCGAAGTCTATTCATCACTTCATCTTCCTTCTAGCTGCTTCGTTTTCTTTTTAATGCCTTTTCGAAACAGTTTATCCAATTTATCAAAAGGGTTTGAAAATATCACCTTATTACGCCGTGATCCTTTACAGAAGGTTTCATATCGCAGAGGCATCTTCATCCAGATAGTGAACTACGTGGCGCGACCGTGAGTTGCGAATAGGGCGTAAAGCGGCAGCACCAAAAACACCGACTTACACCTTATGTCCCTTCGCCGATGTGTCCACGCATGCGTCGTCGTCTTCGTTGGCGTGGTTCGACCATGACAGGACCGGGAGCCGTACAGTTCCTCATAGACCTAATAGCATATCATTGACCCAATTGGGGATGGGGAAACTGAAAGGAGGACATATTCGTCCTGATCAGGGTGGTAGGTAGACAGGTAGCTCGAGCTAGTGCTCATCTCTTTTCCAAATTTTTTTTTCACCAGTTATCTACGGACTAAGACTGCAGTTAGCAATGGCCTGCAGCTCGCGCGTTCACTGGTGTATGAGCACCAGAGCCTTCATAGAGTGACTGTCCTCAGCGGATAATAGAGTCTGTGCTTTCCTAGCGCTATCGAGGAGATGCTCGACCAGCCTGTTCTATTCTTCATCCATTTTGCCATTTACGAAGTCATCCCATAAGCTTGAAAGGAAAAGTTATCATAGGAAATTAGGGTCTTAGGGCTCTTCCTCCACCCGTTGAAAACGAACCTTCCCATGCTTCGAAAACGGAGGAGACCTAGTTCGAATCTGGGTAGAAATTTGAAAATCGTCAGTCAGGCAAAACTTTTGATGATAGACAGTGAGATCTATCTCATCGTGGATGGATGGGGCTTCAGAACTGCCCACTGATGTTGGTCGACTTGATTAACTCAAACAGTCTTCCACTCTACTCCTCCCATCGCGTCTTGCAAGTCTAGATATGATGTTCCCTAGCCGTTATCCTCTACCTTGACGTTCAAATCAAGGACGACTACATTGGAAGAGGCGTCGTCCTTTCCGTAGGGCATTTTCAAGTCCATATAAAAATTTCCAGTCTCGCATTTCGTTGCTTGATGTATGCATCTAAAATTATTACGCATGGATTCCTACTCCTCCAACGCAACTGCTGTGGCATATTCCAAGGAACAGTTTTCCTCGAGTGTCGGAAAAGGGGGACAACGTGCGATCCTTTTTCGTCTCAGTCTTTCCGATGACGTCGCTGTTGCTTTCCCAAATTCCGTCATCAAATCTCCGATCCACAGTTCTGATACAAGCGTTTGCCTGTTATAGGTCTGGAACTATAGCAGCTCCTTTCAAGCGGTTCTGCTCGACCTGCCGTATTGCCACTCCCTCGAGTTCAAAGGACACTAAATTCTGAGTAATCCAGATTATGACGAAAAACGGAAGATAAGATGGAAAATAGAATAATGAAGGTGAAGGAACTGCGTGAATCGGTGTTTCCAAATTTAAAAAAAAAGGCTTCGGAAATTCGTTAAAAGGGGGGCTGAGTATTCCTAGGAGAAAAACTCACGAACCATTTTTATCGTGAACCGTGCCTCCAAGGTAATGAGGTCTAACTTAGTTTCTTGGTTTGACTTGATGTTTTGTTAACTGCTGTTATTTCGTCGCAGTACGCTTTCCGAAAGCCTCACAGCCGCAGGTGCACGGTGCCCGGAAAGCACAAGCACGGGTTCGAGTCCCGTCTGAGACTGAAGTTTTGTCCATCAATCGCCAACCTTGTGAAACTACATATGTTTCTGCTTTTAGCAGAAGTTTATCCACTAAGAGCTCGTTAGGTTCATATGCATCAGTTTCTCCTCTTCGTTTTGTGGAAGAGGAGAAAGAGTTGCAGTAGCCGTTTTGGAATGCATTCATGTATGGTCCACGCAATGGCTTGAGGTTGCCATCCGAGGTGCAAGACAATGATTTTGTCTTCTCAGAAAGGTCTTGTACCAATGAACTGATCGCGGAAGGATGGAAGCTAGGTCGGGCCAGGCGCGTTCAGAGCGGGGATTCAAACCTAGAACCGACCATGCGCGGATGATATTGCGCCACCTACAACTTCATCACCATAACATATATATTCATGATTTTCATATAAGTTGTTCTACTCAGCATGAGGGGTCGAGAATCAAGACTAATAGAAAGAGTGGAGAAAGTGCGGCAGTCTAGACAAGAGCTGAGTCGTTTCAAACGTTAGAAACGTCGCAGAATGCGATGGAATCAAAAATCAAAGAATTTAAGACCACAGGAAAGAGACACTATTGAGGTTAAAACCTCGCTGTCACGGAGCCCTTCATAGTCCCGTATCAAGTCAATAAGGCAGAAACGTCTCCACTGATCCGAGATTAGCATTCAAAGACACTTCTAGCAAATGAATTTCCAATTCAGCTTGAAAACCTGTCTTTGAAAGGTGCGTAATCTCTCCTTTCCACTTCAAACGGGAAAGAACAGAAGATCATACGTAGCTTAAAGTGTTAGAAATGACTTCACATTGATTCATCATCCACCTACAACAAACCTGGAGGAGTGAAAGTCGCCAACATTAATAACTGGTATGCAAACAACGCATGCCATAGGGAGATATCTGGCTTTTTTAAGGTTTGCTGCTAACATATCCCAATGTAGCACCAGACGTGGCTAAACGAGCTCTACATAAAGAAGGGAAATAAGATGTGGTTGTAGAAGTCCTGGCATCAACAGACAAATGACCTTTGTGAAAAATAGTTATTTTCTCAGACTTTTTTCTTTAGGAGAGTAATGGAAGGACTTACGGACAGTGCACAGTAATGCTGTTGACCTCACTTAGGGAAGAACTTAGTTGCTTATTGAAGGATCCCAACGTGACGAAGAAAGCTGCACATAAAATTTTCACCACTACAAGGCTAATATAATTGTTGAGGAAAAGTTAGGGATGTTAATCAGTACAAACAGTATCCTACTATATATAACGCGCTAAGTGTGTGTGTGTGTGTGTGTGTG